AGCAATAAAAATGTACCGTCTCTCATGGAAAAATTGTGAAAAGCTAATTGATCAAAAACAATGTGGAAAAAATCGCTGAATTAAAATGGTATTTGTCCATAATGTGCCACTAAAAAGATACACGGGATTTGCTGCTTAACCTGATACGCTTGACAATTGAAAATGCTATCATTAGAAAGAGCATTCAATTCTCTCCAAGATCCAATCATCACGTTTGCATGACAAGCAACAGTATTCTTTAAAATATAAATGTTTTAAACCTCTGCAAAACGATTTTTAACGAAAATTATCTACGCCTTTCATTTGTCTTAAAACTACGCACCTCAATTATAAAGCACATTTGACAGATTCTGAAGTGGAAAGCATGCTTATCAGACACGGGCACCTCGATCCGATGGATATTTTTTCCAAACCAAAACGTTTAGCCATCAAAAAGCAATCGACCGAAATGGATAGATAACCCAACCGACACAAGAACAACCGAACACCCGCCGATCGAAAATATCCCTTTTCGCGTTGCGGAGCACGCGGGTCACCCTAGTGAATGCCTCTATTTACGACACAATGGTCACAGTCGTCCGGGCCGGCTAAACACCTGCATCGACGCAGAGCAGCATACCCCTGACGTCGTCAAGCATGCATACGTGGCCCGCATGGCGTCGGGGGCGTCTTCAGGTGACCGAGGTTCGATACCAATACTGGAGAAAGTCCCAGAGGAAACTGCTCCATATCCACCGGCTAGCAACGACCAAACACACCAAAACAAGGCAGACCACCAGCAGCGAATATTCAAAGGCATGGCGAATTACACAACGAATTAACACCGTACCTGTGGTGTAGTCGCATTTTCTTTGCCCACAAGGAAATGGCATAGTGCCATAAATTGTATAGCGCACAAAAAGCCACGAACAGCCGAGGATTATTTCTAGTTCTCGGAAGCGTTTATACATACACCTCAAACCACCACATTTTTTTTACATTGCACGGCAGTTGTTCACATATAATTATCTGCCAATCATAACAGAGCTGTATGCTAAACAGACTTGTCCCAAGCACCTAAGGCACAATGTAACTAACTCACTGGAGCAATAAAAGACGATTCAATTTTGTTAAGTACCGAGTGTTCTTTGACACAGACAGGCGTACCCTGCAGCACACTAGACGAGGAAGTTGTCGAGGCATAGTTACGAGACGATAACGTTGCTCTTCAACTTTGCGTGCATTATGCAGACATGCGGCATAGGACAACGGACAGTTGGCCGGGCGATAATTATTTGCAAAATAAGTTCGATACCGATATAGAACATCTATGCCGGTGGGTTCGGCTCCTTCAATATTTCCAGGGACCCAAAGGAGGGACCCAGACCAAAAGTGACTGGTGGGCACAAACTGACAAACTGACTAGGTCAGACTATCGCAAATACCTATACAGCTCGTGATGAGGGGGAATTGAAGACAGTGAATTCCAGAAACATCGCCAACACCAACAGCATACCGTGGCCAAGGCAGAAGATGCGAGGAACATCCCGTCCCATCCACCACTTTTATTATTCCCCCTCTAATGTTCATGTTCTCGGACATCACAAATGTGTTATATTGACACACCACACCTGGCCTGCAAGGCGCGAGTGGGACGGGTGGTACAGGGGGTTCGAGTCATCGTCGATCGTTAGACCAATCGGCGAAGCGCGCCGCGCTGCAACGAACGATCTGGCGACCGGCAAACTTAGTCGGTCACTAGACGCACGCCTCCTTCGTCCTAGAGGGCTGTTCACACTGCACAGCCAGTGGGCTGTATCGACAGCCAGTCTCTGGACGGATCTTTCGAGCCAGTAGGCTGTATCGACAGCCAGTCTCTGGACGGATCTTTCGAGCCAGTAGGCTGTATCGACTGTCAGTCTCTGGACGGATCTTTCGTCACACCGGCCACGAATTCGGCCCGTTTGGATAATGGATAATGAGTTCCGAATGCAATAGCTGCCAAAGCCGGAGTAGTTTGTTGGCACGGCGCTACCAATACGTGAAAAAATTACATCAAAGATAACTAACGCCTCAGGTACCCTACGCAGCGCGGAGACAAACAAATCGGGACACGACCCCATTCTCCCAGTGCAACCACACCCCACTCAGTGGGTCAGTGGTGAGCACTGACCAGCCCGTGTCGTTTAACCCGACCGTGACACGTCACGCGCCCCGAGGGTGTCACAGGTCACGTGCGGCGCGTGACAGGACCACCGGCGGGCCGACTGAGCCCCGCACGCGCACCGCCGCTGCACGGGGTGCCGGTACGTCCGACACGCACCTGTCACACGCTGACAGTGGCGCGGACCAATGAACCGACGACGGACGGCGCGACGGACGGACGGTATAAAAAGGGAAGGAACGCTGCGGCAGTGTTCTGATCTAACAATGTCGTAAATGGATGCGTAAGGTTAAGTTAGGTAAGTGGATGTGTCCCGAGGTACACTCGGGGGCAGATTGATGTTCCACAACTCTTTATCCACCGGGTTCCTATGGCTCAGCATTGGCAGCAGCCGCCTGATACCGGTAGACTGTGCCGCTTCACTTACTTGTCAAGCGGCACACCCACACCGTATGACACCGGTCTGGGTCGGTGGCTGGAAGGCGATGTGGGCCGCCTGTGACGTCAGCGCAGCGGTGAGGGCCGAGCCCGGAGGCATGGCTCGGGTCGGCGCGGCGCGGCGGCTGGCGAGGGCTGGGGAGTGAGGTGGGATGGGAGCACGGACATCGCGCGGCTGAGCGAGTGTAGTTAACTTTCGCGTCTCAAGGCGCCAATTATTCTACCTAACAATTGTGCTAAAGCAGTTGTTAAAATGTCCTATCCCCAAGACAGCGCCTATCATCATACTTGCCATGCACATTACGACACACTTAAGCGTGGCAATGGGACAGCCGATATAGTTAACTTATGTCACTCGTGCATCGAGGTGCGGAGCTATATTTTGTATAACATATTAGTATTAAGGCCTTGATTGAGCAGATTGGTGTCTATTGTTTCGCACGGCAATCGTCCAGAGACGTGGGAACTGGGGGTTATGAGTAGTGCCGCAGCCAACGCTCTAATTTAAAGCGATTATTACTGTTGCTCTAATATATGGTCGCAGCCTCCAATAGCAAACCGTTCCAACTAGGAGCCAAAAACTCGGCCACTCAGGGGGGTTCGAACCGGGCTTCTCCCACCGGCCAACTCACGACACGAGCGTTCATCCACTGAGCTACCGAGAATGGTCCTAGTCCGCACAAAACAAAATGACATTCACCCGCTGACCGCCAATGACAGTATTGTGACATTTAATCGCGTTTGACCGCGGCGGGTGGTCGCTGGTTTCGACAGCTCTGTGGATACACGCTAGCGTCGTGGGGTGACCGGTTGGAGAAACCCGGTTCGAACCGTCCCAGGTGCGCGACTTATTTGTTCCTAGATGGAACGGTTTGCTATTGGTGGCTGCGACCACACATTAGAGGAACAGTAAGAGTTGCTTAAAGTTGGGACGCCGCGCCATCCAAAAACCCCAGTTCCCACGTCTCTGGAGGACGATTGCTGTGCGAAATAATAGACACCAATGAGCTCAATCAAGGCCTTAATACTTATCTGTTAAAAACAATGTAGCTCCGCAACTCGATGCACGTGTGATATAAATTCTATCGGCTGTCCCAATGCCACGTTTAAGTGTGTCGTAATGTGCATGGCAAGTGTGATGATAGGCGCTGTCTTGGGGATAGGACATTTTAACAACTGCTTTAGCACAATTGTTAGGTAGAAAAATTGGCGCCCTGAGACGCGAAAGTTAACTACACTCGCTCAGCCGCGCGATATGGTCCGTGCTCCCACCCCACCTCACTCCCCAGCCCTAGCCAGCCGCCGCGCCGCACCGACCCGAGCCATGCCTCCGGGCTCGGCCCTCACCGCTGCGCTGACGTCACAGGCGGCCCACATCGCCTTCCAGCCACCGACCCAGACCGGTGTCATACGGTGTGGGTAGGCTGTGCCGCTTGACAAGTAAGTGAAGCGGCACAGTCTACCGGTACCAGGCGGCTGCTGCCAATGCTGAGCCATAGGAACCCGGTGGATAAAGAGTTGTGGAACATCAATCTGCCCCCGAGTGTACCATCTCGCCGGTTCTATCCCAGCTCGAGTCACCCCTAAAGCCGTCACAGAGGAGCAAATTGTAACACCACTTGAATCCAGCGGAACATTTGTAAGCGGTGTGATTTGTGAGCACAATCTAAAAAAAATCGGTGCTTTTAGATCAATCGGAATGGCTAGCACAAATATAAACGTTAATCGTTAATCTACAGTACATACGTAGTATCCGCAACAAGGCAACATTCTCATAACCTCATGGTTTAATTAGCTTTTTTTATCGAGTAAACACTAGCATGACAGGATTGGAATGTCAAGCTTGTCGTTTTGAAAGACGTATTGTACACAACAATTTTTGAAAACCACCGCCAGTGCCGTGGCCCTCTTCAAACACACTCAGGCGGGGGAGGGGGGGGGGGAGGGAAATTACGGTTCCGTCTACGTTAACTTCTGGAGCGTTCCATAGCCAATCAAGTAATTGCTCAAGTTCCTTAGTAAATCAACTAATTGCTCAAGTTCCTTAGCCAATTAACTAATTGGCAATCAATATCCAATCAATAATCGTACAAGCTTCAACGCGAATCTATTCACTGATTTAGATTCACATAAAATTCATTAGAAAAATATCCACGCCTTGCAACTAACAACTATCATGGTCACTGCACTGCAGTCGGCCGGATATATCCTGGTAGATAGTTGACATTTCCATCCCCTCGTCTCCCGGGCGGATGGCGGTTACCAGACCCTCTTGCGCGGGGGGAGGGTGAAGGCACGGAGAGGGCTCTGCAGTCTGCATGCACTACCGGCCTATCGGCGCGTCCCCACTGGTCTAGTGCTCTAGGCGGGGGGGGGGGGGGGCAGAGGCGGGGCAGAGGCGGGGGCGGGTCCGGGGGGCTCAGTGACCGGCCGGTGTCGCCGGCTGCCCCACAATCAAGTAGTCGGTCGGTCGGCGGCGGCGGCGGCGGTGACGACGGGCGGGCGGTGAGGGCGGGCGCTCACCTGCGTTCACGTGCAGTTTGACATCGGTGACCTCCACCTGAAGGCGCGTGTCGCCGGCCGGTGTCAGGCCTCCCATCACTGACACGGCAAACGGACTGACGATCTGTCGGGCACACGGAAACGTCCGTCAGCCCGGCCCGGATCGGCTCAGTGCGGCCCAGCTCGAAACAGTATCCGATTCAGCTCAGCCAAAGCCAGACCGACTCAGCCCTTCTAGACCCACATCAGCTCCGCTAAGCTCAGCCCGACAGAGCCCGGGACGACTCGTCCCAGCTCAACTCGGGACGACTCGTCCCAGCTCGACTCCAGGACGTCTCGTCCCAGCTCGTCCCCCGGAGCAGCAAACGCCGGCCGCTATGGCGACACTAAGCGCGGTGAGAATATGCTCAGAGGTGGGCGTTGGTGGTAATTGGGGAACACCAAATACCAAAAAACGCGTTGGTAAGATAGTTGGGTTTGTTCAGGGGAACTGGGAAGTGGGAAGTGAACGGTGGCACCTATACCACACTTCAAGCGATTCTCGTAAAACTGATTTCGAAATGTCATCAACAGATCCAACGATTCTGTAAAATTGGTTTCGAAATGTCACCAACAGATTAAACGATTAAAGTAAAATAGATTTCGCATAAGATTTGTAAAGTGGCTGCAGTACAACTTGTCCGCAAAAACATCTTTTTCAACAGCCTTTTCCCCCTTTGGTGGCCAAACCGTTGATCTAAAGTCAAATTTGTTAACGAGCTGAGGACATAACAAAAATGCTATCGCATGTTTTCCCGTGATACTGTAGCCCATTACACCACGAATTATATGCTATTTTTGTCAAAGAACGCCAAAATCGAGAAAAGTTGGCCTTTGCTGACCTCTGAATCAGAACACTGACCTAATCAGCTGAGGAAAGGTTGACAAAAGTTAGCAGAACATTAGCAAAATTATCAGAAAAATAACAGAACGGTAGAACACTTCATTCTCAGTGATTTTCGACGACCTCTCGTTTTACCGCTTTTCGCCACGCATGGCTCAGGAGCCGTGGAAGGGGAATTAGGGCATTATACCAAGATACCCGCCAAGTCCCTATATTACAATCGGATCACGACCACGGCATACCGTGAATTACACACTTCTTTATTCGCCAGCATCAGCAACAGAATTAGGTATGTTTCACAGACCGGGATGTCGAAGATGTAAAACAATGACCCTCACTATGGTTTTCATCCTTTACATATTATGACCACCAATCGGTGTCAATGGAACCACGTGCTACATGCCATATTAAGGGGTTCCGTCGTGTACATTGCTCTGGGAAGAGTGTCAACTTCGTCCGCTATCTAAAAGCATTTGATTTGACCTGATAGCTCGAGTTCAGGTCAATCTCTTCAGATATTTGTGCTGTGCAAATAAACTGATCAGCCGCATCAGGCGGAGCAAAACCTACTCGAGGGCAGCGCTTTTCGAGGAGCGCTGTGGCCGAAGGTTTGGACTTTGAATTGTGAAAAACGCCGCCCGCCGGAAAACGCAAACACCGCAAAACGCGCAAAACGCACGCCCGAAACGCCAACGCAAACGTCGCAAAAAAATAAACAAACGCCCGCCCCGCCGCAAACCGCAAATAAAAAACGCAAAAACGCCGCAAAACAATAAAACCGCCCGCCAACCGCAACAAATTTAACACCGCAAACGACGCAAAAAAAGAAGAAAACCGCCCGCATCGCCCGCCCGCCCGCCCGCCCGCCGCCAAAGACAAACACCGCAAAAAACACAAAACGCCCGCCCGCCGCAAAACGTAAACACCGCAAAACGTGTAAAACGCACGCCCGAAAAGCCAACGCAAACGGCAAAAAATCACCCGACCGCCGCAAACCACACAGAAAAAAAAACGCCGAAACGCCGAAAAAAATAAAACCGCCCGCACCGCACCGACGCTAACTGCTAGCCGAAAACGACTAAAGTCGCCCGCCAGCCGCCAAACGCAAACACCGCAAATAAGCGCCCGGCCGCAGCAAGATAATAATTTATCAGCGGCTGGCATACCGCTAGGCTGGTCATTTTCACAAATCAAAAAGATATCTGCAAAAATATCCTAGATGAAAGCGCCCGATTAAAAAACGGATGGCACGTGCGTGTTCCTCGCCCCCAACTTCCTTCAGGTCAATCGTCATTTGGGTCATCTAACGCATTGACGACCGGCTGGGTGGAATGAACATTGCGCCAAGAAACGTAAGTATATTGTCAAAAAGAATCCCCAGAGTGGTGGATCCCAAAAGTTTGAAACTACCACTTTGGCCCACTGGACGACACCTTAAACAGTTGCCGACCGGATGACACCCATTGTTTGGTCACCCACGCCATAGTATGCATCATGGGTGCGCCGAAATGACCAAAAGTCCCAATTTCCGGTGTGCAGGGTCATTTTCAACGGCACGTGGCACGTGGTTCTGGACTTTTCCGGCCACTTTGCGACATACCCATGGGTAGTGCACCGAATGGTGGTTGATCTGCATGTAAGAAAATGGGGGGTCGTTTGGATCGTTTTCGAGCAATCTGCCGTGGAACGCATTTTTTCATTTTCCCCATTGGCTTAACACGGGAATTTTTAAAGTCACGTGGCACGTGCACCAGATGGTCCGCGGAGGGGAGACCCATACCAGAACGTAGATCACCTGGCCCACTAGAAATCCTGAAAAAATCAGAATTTTTAGACCAGCCGTTTTCAAGAGCATCAAGTTGTACTGATCTCAGGCAGCTTTTGCCAAATTGTCAGGGAACTCAGATTTGTTTTTCAATAGAAAAACACAATTCTAAAGAATAGTGTTTTAACTATTGACAACAAACCTTCGGTTACAGCTATCATACACAGCCATGCCACGTGCTAAGTCATAACCCAAATGCAAGAATGTGGGTTCATGTTGAATGAAAGTCACGCGTAAGTCGCTGAAACTAGAAAGAACGGGTTTTGGGATTTGGTGTCGCCTGTCGGCGGAACAGGCTGGGGTGTCGGCTGGTTCACTGCGGCTGTCACCTCCGGCCGGCCCTGCAGATAAGCTGCTGTGCAGTGTCCCGGCAAAACTGCAGTACTTCATATCAGCCGCTCTGGGACTGACTGCCATGAGTTCATGATATAGAGAGGAGAGATGGGAGAGGAAAGGAGAGGATAGTGGAGAGAGAGAGAGAGAGGAGAGAGAGGAGAGAGAGAGAGAGAGAGAGAGAGAGAGAGAGAGAGAGAGAGAGAGAGAGAGAGAGAGAGAGAGAGAGAGAGAGAGAGAGAGAGAGAGAGAGAGAGAGAGAGAGAGAGAGAGAGAGAGAAAGAGAGAGGCAGAACACAAAGTATATTCTGAGACAAACTATCAAACTTATTCATCATGTAGCACAACAGCTCGGCGATTACACAGAGCAGCTTCCTCCAAGAAGTAGAGAACTTCTTGCCTTCTAAAAAATTCAAAGGAGAAAAATCAAAAATATCTTGCTATACAAGACGTACGAGGAACCAAGTGTCCACCACTGGCCCCATGAGCCCCTCATCCGCCGCCCGCCAATCGGTTCTGAGTAAATACCTCCCACTGTCCGAGCTCCCCGCTCACAGCCCGGCGGCTGTTTCCATCGCGCAGTCCTTAGTTACACAAGCACTCGACGCGGCTGTATGATAGGCCATGGCCAGCAAGCCAGCGCCGCTGTTAGCACCGAGGTGCGAGACGGCACATGTAGATGACAGACCATTGCGGCGGGTCAGGGTCGCTCGCCTTCAGCAGCACCAAAGTTCACAGACCATTGCAAGGAAATGAACTCCGAGCGCAGAGAAAGGATTCATAAAAACAGCTCGTCAAATGTATTTATTCCCACGAAAATGCCTATGACGGGACATGTAAAGTAAACCTGTGGCATTGTATGATTCGACAACTTACGCAAGTGAACTGAAATTAACCTCTGAAATTCCAGCACTGAAATTCTACTCCGGGTTCCGACGGATAACTACAAATGTGGTTATCGGTCAAAGCCTGAGTACACATACCAACATTCCGATACAGTCGTACCCACTGCTCGTTACTGAGCCAGATAGCAGTGACAACTGACAGGCGACAGGATAGGGAGCTCGGCTGATCGAGCCAATGTTGACAGGTCTCAGGCACTGCACAAAATGTCAAGTGCTAGGATTAGGCCACGGTGGACTGGGGACAGGTCGTGGGCGAATATATGTAAGGACAGCGATGGCAGGTCTGGGGGATATAGGAGCGGAGGTACAGGGGTGTGTAAAATGGCTATCTACCAGCAAAATAGGGAATCGTGGGTGCAAGGATAAAGGTGCAAGAACAGAAAAATACAGGATGGAAAGAATTTACGGAAAGATGTTTTCTTACAACTTCGCTGTACACCGGCGTCTTTGCATAAACGAGGGATGATATCGGATAAACTTGATTGCGCTTGCTTTCGTCCTAAACACGAGACCTGACCTTTGGTGACGACCCCGGTGGAGGTCATAACGTATCGTCTCGTTGGCAAACGCCTCGCTATCAGCCGTTCTCAGCATTGTGTTTGGCTGAAGCGGAAGAAAACTGGAAATGGCCTAAGATGCAAAGCCGGTCGCGACAGAAAACCCTCGTGCACCCAGTCGCCAAACGGGTGGTCGCGTCCCCATGTCCGTGATAAAGCGGTGCCAGATAACCCGGGAGATAACAAAACGGCTCGCAGCGGTCTGGGTATCCGGTCTCAAATTGCACGGCTGCACATATCTTCGCAAAAAAAGAAAACCAAATCGTACAAATCCTTCCGGAGACCTAAGCCCAAAAATGAACAAGAGATCGTCGTTCGAATTTCGCCAAGAAGTAAAAAACCAGGACAGGGGACCGGCAGCCGGCGTCGTGGTCATATGAGACATCTTGTTGGCCGACATCTGTCATCCGCCAAACCGGTAGAACAACTGGGTCTGGACTGTTGATACATCATCAGGTTCACCCAACCCAACCACAAGCAGCCGGAACATTAAAAAATATGAGGATTGATGAGCCCACGGCGGGGTCAGAGCTGCATGTAGTTGCCCAAATCGTTAGGGTAAATAGAGAGAATTTCCGGCAGAACCTCCAAAGAGAGAAAAGGGAGATTCTCCGTGTCATC